CACGATAAAACACGATTCTCTCGGCAGAATGAAAGGGGGACAACTCATATCGAGTTATACTTATTATAAAACCCAGTTTGTTTGTGTGTGTGTCTGTGTGTGTGTTTGTTTATATATGGGATCGGATTTCCTACATTTTTCAACCGATTTCAACAAAACTTCACTTTTTTTTGGCAGGTAGTGTTTCTTATTGTATTGCACACTTTTTTCTTTATTTCTACATTCAGAATGCTTTAAAAACTCCATTTACAAGACAATTGTTTATAATAAAATTCTATTCAATCGATAGACTCATAATGATTGAAAACTATGTTTTTGTTTGAGTTTGTTTGTAAAAAAAAAAACTAATTAAGACATGCGTGTCTGTCAACAATAATCTTTGTCAATTTTATTTTTCAGTCTTTATGATGGTCGATACTTAATCTATCTCTTACTGTTACATCCCCGGGCGACGCCAGGCCCTACTACCAGTATTAAATAAAATTCAATACTCTTTTAATATTGGGTTTGTGGCGTTTTTCTAAACAATATTTATTATAAAAAAAGAAACATAACAATTCAACAATAACATTTTTAAATGATTATTCCGGAGCGTATGATTATTGACACGCATTTTTATAACCTGAAAATAAAATATTTTTATTAAAAAAAGTAAACAAAACAGAGCAATTTTTATTAACAAACAACTCGCCTACAAAAACGCTTGATAATTATACACCAACCCAATAAAATAATTTTCTTGATCATGGTCTATACTTCCTGAATATTAAAATAAATAACTTTTCTAATCACCACTGAATAATTATGGTTATTTCACAAGAAAATATTAGGTTGTTCGGAAACTAATATATGAATTTTGATTAAAACTATTGTCTTCTAATACAAGGTGTCCATAATGTTCGTATGCACTTTACAAAATGTATAACTTGATTTGTATTTGAGATAGAAATAATCTGTAAAAAATGTTATAAAGTTTAATGTACTTAGTTTTAAGTATAGCTAAAATAACTAATGTGATTTCAGGTATTACTGTAAATCAGTTTGCAAATGTTTTCCGTGAACTGCAAAATCTTATTATCCTTTGTATTGCTAATGATGGAGGACATGTGGAAACAAATAAAATTTCAATAAAACCTTAAAAAATATAGATTAACTTCTTTCTAATCCTTTTACAAATTATTTCTATCGCAAATACAAATAAAGTTATAATTTTTTAAAGTACACACGAACTTTATGGATACCTTGAATAATACCATAATAGTTGCACAAAAATGTCTTACTGAGAGTCATTACTGGGGGCCATAATCTTAAAAAAACATAAGATATGCTGATGACACGGTACTAAAGCGAAAAGAAAGGACTAAACATCGGTTTAGACATGGTTGTTAGCAAAATGGGTGAGCTTAACATGCAAATAGCAAATTGGGGATAGCAAAATCAAAACAGGTGCAGCAGTTTAGATATCTGAGTTGTTTCGAGCGAGACATTCCGGCTATTCTCTATGTGTATATTGAATCTTTGATTTGCCGGAATCCTTGGAATTTCCATGGGTGTTAACGATCATTATCTTATGTTTTTGGTCCTTTCACTCTTTGCTTCTATTAGATTGTTGCATACGCCCTTGTGCAAATTAATTGAAGCAAAACGAATAATTCCGTTATTATTTACTTTTTCTTCGTATTTCCCCAATGAAACATAACCCAGTGCACATATTAATACTTCGTATAGCCATTCCATGAAGTCCTTGCAGATTGACCACAGATTCTCGATTGAATTTAAATCAGAGAGTTTCCGGACCAGTCTATAGTGATTTGATTTTCTCACTGGTGAGACTTGCCGGTGTGTTCGTGCAGCGTTTTGTGCGCTTCCTTGGAGTAACGTCTATCACATGCAATAGCCTTAGGACAACTAATCAACAGTCGAGACAATAGTGTCTGGGCGTGACGAAAATCTGATGCAATCAGGGATGACGCAATATTTTTCAAGGCCAAACAAATTTCATCATACACCCCGAAAATAGATTCATACTGCACACCACTGCAAATGACCTAATCTGAGGAAAAATAAAAATTGATTACACCCTATCACTCCAGAGGGTCTAAACCTGAACGTATTGTGAGATAAATAAAAATAGAGCTATTGTTTCAATTAATTTGCATACAGGTGTATATTAGTTCGTTTTTTTTTCTGATGTTCTGCGAATGATCTCGAAATATAATCTTTCCTGGCGTTTTTTGCTTCTTAATATCTATGGTTATCCTGTTAAACTGTTGTCTAACATTACTGAAATTTTATTTATGATAAGACACACCTGTGTACGGAGATGGAAAAAAAACTAAATGGTCGGTGAAAAAAACCTGACCGGTGATACAGTGTGATTATTCAACCAGACAATGCCCCCACTCATGTCGCTAACCTGACCAAACACTCAATTAAAGAGCTCGGTTGGGAAGATCTACGACATCCATACATTTCGCCATCATTAAGGCAGCTTCACGAGTCTCTCCTCCTAGAACTTAACAAAGTTATGAGTGATGACCTGGCTTCTGTGTTTTTTACAGGCCCCCAAAGAAATAAAGTTTTTCTCATTAAGATGGTATTGTGGGAGTCGAAATAAATGGAAATGTGCCGTCAGTAAATCCGATATACGGAAATCTAATCTAAATAATTTATAGCGAAGAAAACGGCAACTTACTTTGTCAAACCAAGCGACAGCGTGTTGCGTGTATCCTATGACGGAAAATGTGACGAAAAAAAAAATTACTTACCAAAAAAAAAAAAAAAAAAAAGTGCACGTATTCCGCATGACATGTTGAAGTCGGAATATTTTAGAAACAAGTCCGTTGCAGGAGTCACAATAAAAGTATTTTGATATGCAAAAATTGAGCGTCCTCTCCCAGTTGTCGACGAATGAAAAAAAATGCTCGGCCGATAAAAGCAAAAGAGAAAATAAAATTCGGGGAATTGGGTTACCGCGTTCGTCAGAGAGTGAGTTATTTTCCTGACTGGTTACGTGCATTGTGATTTGTAAGATAGTACCTGCGAATCGAGTTTTCGGCATTTCTTTCTGCCTCCGATGTTCGAGTCTGAACTTACAGTGATTTATTATCTACGTTGTGGAAGTAATCTGCGACAAATATTTCCTTTGCAATTCCAGATCGCTTACATAATTTAATCTATTTTGTTTAAGGTATATTTTATGAAGCCAGAATATTCAACTCTGGTCATCCCGTGAAACTGTTGTCTAACGTATTTAAAATTTTATCTAAAAAAAGACGCCCCTTTGAGATGAATGCCAAGAAAAAGCATGTTTGATATCTTCTCTTTTCTTTTAATCAAGGTCAAAAATCTGCAAAGGTGCTCGAGACATTTGTGCTGCGTACAGAGATGATGTCTTTACTGTTAGAATGCCACAGGAATGATGTTCTTTATTAAGTTAGGGGAATTCAAACTTCACGTTTTGGCCGACATGTTCAGTTTGAGGAGAACCAATTGAACGCGCTGATTAAAAATGCACCAGACCACCAGGGTCATAAAGCCGTTTGAGATATGTGTCCTGTATAGGGAGACGAAATGCTTCAAAACCACCAAACGGTCAATGATATGCTGCATGTTGAACAAATGAACAGGCTCAAAGAGGCAATTTAACTGAAAATACATGACCAGCAATACATGATTATTCAACATGGCAATGATCGCCTCGAGGTCGCTAACCACAACCCACCATATTCTCTTGATTTAGCCTCTTCAGACAAAAACTTTTTCCGATCGCTTTCTAACAATTTGAGGGGTGTTTCGTTCAACAACGATGTGGAATTTAAAACGTGTCTTGATTTGTTTTCCTAGTCAAAACCTAGTGTTTTCTATCGTCGAGGTATTGAGCAGTTTGTGGATCATTCACAGAAGGTCGTAAGCAATGGAGTGGAATATATTGCTGAACGTTTCATCAGAACTATTAATAAATAATAAGTATTAAAAAAAAACGAATGAATTTATGTATTTTATTTTGGGGTTTCTTCCAATCCTCATTATTAGTCCAGGATTTTAACCGTCCTCTGTATGACGATAAACTAGATTCGCGCCTTGGGTAAGAAGATAAACTACATCCAACAGCAAGGCCTCTGATCAGAAGGTTTTGAGGAGCGTGGAACCACCTCTTAATTGCTGGTGTTCCCAGCTCTACCCTGACCCGGGGTGGTAGCACCTGTTAGGGTCCCAGCTATCAGCAAATAGTTAACACCCCCCAAAAGGGGTCAAAATACTATAAAAGTGTAAAAATAGGTTTTAATACCAGCAATACATTTTGTAAAATATTACCAGCAATGAATTTTTGAAGGAAAAATGATTATCAGCAGTATATTATTACCAGCTGTAGATTTCTGAAAAAAATATTACCAGCAATAAAAATATTATTTACATTATTCGGACTATTGTCCTCATCTTTGTCACAATATTTATTACAACGTTTCGGCCGTTGTACGCTCCGGCCTGTTCTAGTTCCTCGTGTCATGTTTAATGGATGTCAGTTATCAGTTATCTCCTCTTAATTCCCCTCTTAACTGTGTATTGAACTCACTGGATCTAACCAACGCCTTTATCCACTGTGCCATGAGTCCTTGAGGACATCTTTGAAATTGATATACCATAAATCAAAACAAAGCAAAGCAAACCACGACTTTAATTGTTATACAGAGGAGGATTAGTTTGCTGTGCCTGAACGAAATATACTCTGTCTACTAAATCATCTTTTCTCTGTCTCCACAGAAATCTTTCCATCTTTTCAGCCTACCTTTCAATTTTTCCATCACTTTTCTTAATTTCCAACCAGAAAACCTTTTTCTTTCTATTTCTTTCTTTCATCTCTATCCTTTCTTATCCTTTCTCGCCATATATATATATATATATATATATATATATATATATATATATATATGTGTGTGACGTCGTCCCCGGTCGCAGCGCCGACTGTGACGTTCTATCCTGATCTACCACGGCGCCAGTTGTGACGTCCCCAAACAGCACCAATTGTGACGTCCTCGCCGCGGCGCCAACTGTTCGCTCCTCGCTGCTCCGTTCGGGTGTCGCTGCTCCAAACGTGACGTCCGCCTGTCGCGTCAGTCGTGTTGTCTCGTCCTGTGACGACCAACTGGCTTGGTATCGGTCGCGGCACCCAAATGTGACGTTCTAACCTTTTGGTGATTCGGGTGGGAATTTGGTTAGATTTGATATCAGCCTCGTCGTTCCCTACTCGCTTCCAACGCCTGGTTACCAAGGTTGCATTGATCTCCAGTCTGCCTACCCACGCTGTGAATTGATCTTAGACAGACGAGATCAAACGGTGGTTGGGGCCGTAATGCAAACTGAGTTCAACGGGGGTGATACTACACAAATATGCATAAAAGAAAATAAAATGAAAACTCAAAAAGTTCAAATTATCAAAGAAAAAGGTAACAAACTTTATGTCTAGTTGTTCAATACATAGGACTGCATCTATCTCCCGACCCGTTCTGTGGATTGTGACACGTCGTTTTTCCGTTAGGCAAGTTTTAACGCTTCAAGTTGTTTGCTCTCTAAGAAATTGGCGTTTCGGTGTGTCTTTGGACGAAAGTCGAAAAAAACTTATTTCGGTAGTCTGGTTCTAAGTCGCTCTTCAAAATAATTGTTCTTGGGTTGAAGAGGAGTCCGGAATTTTGCGTGAATCTTGGTCAGCTATCTGCGAGGCGGTTTCAACTGGAGACTGACTCTGGGAACTCAACTCTGGAAACTCGAGCCCGAACTCTCTGATTTCTGCCTGTTGAGGCCGTTTTTTATTGACGCCGACCAAAACCGGGGTGGGTCTGTCGGCGTCAGGGGGGTTCCTCGATAATTCTAAATACATATCCACCTCTTTTATTTCTGGTTGGGATTTTCCACCCTTTTCCATTTTGGGAACCTTTCCTTACTCCCACTTTCTCACCATACTTCAGAGGGCGTGAACTGCTCTCCACACTTCCTCGTAGCAGCTTCTCATACTTATACTCTGGATGAGGCGTCGACAGCCTTCCTCGTGCGTCACGTGATCACCACTCGGCCAATGAGGTCTTAGTCGGGTATCTTTCCTCCTCCTTCGTGCGTCACGTGATCACCACTTGACCAATGATGTCTTAGTCGGGCGTGAACAATCCGCGGCTTTGTTTCGGGAAAAAAATATCTTGCTTAACTAAAAAAAATTATCTCTTCTCTTTCCTTTTCTTCCGCTTTAATCGCCGTTATCATTTTTCTATCCGCAAACGGACAATATGACAACTCTTGTTCTACGCGTGGTTTTTTGTCATGTATTTTATCGCTAATTATCAAAATGGGTGGTCTTATTAACACGGCCTCAAAAAAAGAAATATCTCTAAAATTTCAGTCAGTCTGTCATCTCCAAGGAAGAAGAAAAAAAAACACTTCTGGGTCCCCATTCATTTTTCCTTCGGTACATATTTCTGATAACATAATTTTATTATCGCAGGCCAAAGTTGTTTTTGTCGAAAAAATTCGGTCAGCGGAATGGCTTGTGTGGTTTTTAATTTTCATATCTACCCAAAGTCCAGTAGTTACAGCCTGTGTTTTGTCAATTATCAAAATTAACTTTTTCAATTGAATTTTTTGGCCAGTCGACCATCCTAGATAACACAGCCGTTATCAAAACACATCTGTTTCTTTCTTTTCTTTTCCTTTTTTTTTTACTCAGAATTTCCCTGTCATTGTAAACACCCTTTTCCATTTGTTAACTATCAAATTTTCATTGTCTCTTAGCCATGTGTGTGTCCTGTTGATCACCCACGATTTGTCTCGCCTTTCTTTCTGCCTTCTTTTCTTTCTTTTCCTTTCTCTGCCTCGTAAATGGTGCCACACATATATATATATATATATGTTATTAAAAATAATATACAATGGACATTACAACAGAGATTTTTACCATGAAATATAACCATTCTGAAAGGAAGGGTCCTGTCAATTATCAAAATGATGAAAAAATATTCAAATGTTGGACCGATTTTGTTTGTATTTTCTCCTGAAAATAAATCCACTATTGAAGCTTAGAACGGCCTCATCATCTAAACTCATGTTATATTTAACAATATATGTTTGAACAGTGACCTATATATATATATATATATATATATATATATATATATATATATATCTTATATATATATATATATATATATACTTATACCCACAAAAATAGAAAATAAATGTACGTCATTATTTAACCTTTAAGACCCTTACGGCTAATGCTTTTTCAAAAGGAAATCTTTGGCGGAGCAGAAAAACACAATCGTAGATACATTAATATGCAACATGTACCTACCTTTTATTTTCTATGTTTCAAAAATTGCAGTAATGGATATAAAAAAAAAAGTTTTGTATTACGACTTGCACCCGTGAACAAAACACAGTTTTGTATTACTGCTTACACCCCTGAAGATGATCATGGAAGAAGATCGAAAGTACTTGGGAAATGGAAAATAAAAACAATTTTCATAGAGCACATTTCTCACATCATTTAACTGCAATACACGGAAGGTTATTCGTGAGTATGAACGATTTCATTAAAAATAAGCAGACATAATGTCTTTAATTTACTTAAGCATATATATATATATATATATATATATATATATATATATATATAACATTATGGAATAAACTTAGCCCTCACGATATTGACATAATTATATGTTAACACTATATATGTAATGCATTTAGAAACTTTTTTGTATTACTACTTACACCACTGAAGATGATCTCAGAAGATCGAAAATACGTGGAAAATGGGAAATAAAAACGATTTTCATAGTTATAACACATTTCTCACATCATTTAATTGCAATGCACAGAAGGGTATCCGTGAGTATAAACCGATTTTATTAAAAATAAGCAGACATGATGTCTGTAATATATTTAACCAGACATGCCTATATATATATATATATATATATATATATATATATATATATATATAATTATTTATTTATAAAAAAAAAATTTATAACATAAATATGTTATAAAATCACTACAAAAATAGCCATTTTGTTTCAACACTCTCGGTGTCATATCAAGTGATGATGTTGAATGTAAAATAGTTTTAAAATGGTTTAAAAGTTTCAAATTAATTAACGATCCTTCACAAGGGGAAAACGTTGTTACAAAAGCTAGATGGACCGATCAAAATACAAGTATAGGAAAATTCAAAAAGCTTGACAACGAAGTCATGTTATAATAGCTATTCAGATATTTAAAATTTTGGTAGTATTAAAAATGAATTTATTCTAACCAATAATTACTAAATTATATGATAAAATTTAATATTAAAATTAAAAACTGCTAATTTCAAGATCAAAATTTAATCGCTATTAAGTTTACAACTATAAAATTACTGTGGAGAAAAGAAGAAATATATATGTTATTCAATTTATTTCTTCATTGAAGTTATTTTAGGTAATATATATATATATATATATATATAAAAGTGAACATTGGAGTCAACACTTAGAGGCTATAGGCTGTATCATGCTGGACGCAATCGTCTGACGATCGCGTCCAGCATGAAACAGCCTGTCGCCTCTAAGTGTTGACTTCAATGTTTACTTTTATATTTACTTTTATATTTACATACTCTCTATCTCTGATATTGAGCACTTTATCCCATAAATATAGCACAACTTAAGAGTATGTTTCTTCATATATAAATATATATTTTTTCCCTTTCACATAGTTTTCTTTTAGTTTTCTCTCGTTTTCTTACCTCACACCTTTTCTTTCTTCACCCCCTTTTTTCCTACCTCTCCATTTCGTTCGCTTTTCTTAATTCACTTCCAGTTAATATTATTTTAATCCTTTTGTCCTTACCTGATTTTCAATATTTCGCTGATTTTTTTCTTGAATTCTATTAAGAATGCAATTTTTTTCTTTCATCTACATCTTTTTTTTTAACTTTTCGCCATATGTGTTTGTTGTTTTTTTCCTTTCACCAAGCTTCTGTCATTTTTCTCTCGTTTTCTTATCACCTACTCTTCACTCTTCACCCTTCACACCTCAACTCTTCATTCACGTATCACAGTTACTTCTTTTGTAGGTTTCGCAGCCAGAAAGCGTAACTGATTCCCGTTCAGTAGGGTCGGAAATCAGTTCGATACAACAATTTGATCCGAAGTAGAATTACTTTCAAAGAAACCGAATAAAAATATAGCATCATTTTTCTTATCATTTCCTTATCTACAGCAATATATATGTCACAGGACAGAGTATTAATGTTTCGTGTTAAGTATTAACGTGAAAGCAGACAAGATTATATAACTTTTGTCTATTCTTAAGGGATCTGCCTTTTATATTTCTACAAATCTCGTTTATTCTCACGTGAATTAACAAGTTTTTGTCTTGTTTTAAGAGCAAGAGACATGAACAGTTGATGGCATTCGAACCAGTCGCAAAGATATACCGTAGTTTGAAATTCAACGGCTAAAAGCAATTTTTATTGATTTAAAGAACTGATTTAGAAAAATATATATATTTTTAACAGATTTCTTTATCGTTTGGATTCTCGTGGTATTTATTTTGGCTAGATTGACGCAAAATGTCATATTCACGTCTGTAATTTTTTCTCAATCAAATCTATGCTGGATTTTAATAAAATCATGTATTAAGGGCATGTACTTGGTGTTCTGTATAAAACGTGACTTGTCCTTTTTTATTTCTTATTGTTTTCTAATAATGCTATTGAATTAGTTGGCAGATATCACCAAAAGCAGTTGTCAATAGAACAGGTGTAAGAATGAAAAGTTCTCGTGCCATTTTCCTTCATTTTTTTCCCTCTGTGGTGGGAAGGATTATCATTTTTTAAAGACACTATTGATGTCCCCCGTAGTGCAACTGCGAAAGACATATATGGAATTTCAAATCCGAGTGCTAATATTAATTTTTAAAAATGTCTGACTTGAAATATTACCAATCATTATTTTCGTATTTTCTTTCAATTATAATTTTCATTTCAATTACTAATCAAAAGTTAAAAACCCAATCCATTCTTCACCAAACTGCTATCAACAAGCACTAGTGTTCCACTCCGTCACTTATTTTTTTTATTTATATTTTTCTTCTAAAACAAATGGAAAAAAGGAAGTGATGTTTCACATACGGCTTGCCTACAAGCAGGATTGT